GTCGCAATAGTTAACGTTGTTTATAAGCGGCAATTGCCGTCACTAGACATTACATGCTTAGCGAATGCACTAGGCAGTCCTATCGTGTCGCGCGCTTGCACTTGGTGGGCTGGGCGAATTTGGCTATTTTCATAAGTTAATAACTCGTTAACCATTGCGAAAGTGTAAAATTGTAAAATGGTAGAGGATTTTTCTTCTCAGTTTAGTCCATTCTGCCCCTGTGTAAAAGACTTATCACTAATTTCCAAACACCCTGTAATATATATTTTGTGTGTATATTTTTTGTATATACGTATACAAAACGCTATTGAAAAAACTAATTTCTATTATGCTCGCAGCAATCACTCAAGCACGGTACAATTCTAATGACAGCAGATCATGACTTGTAGTAAAGAGAATGATTTTGTACAAGTATATTGTGACCAAGCCAAAAATGAATTTTTTTCGACTCATTACGAACAGAAAAAGAATTTCTTGAAATTAACTTTAATTTAATTCTGTAAGAAATACTTTTATGATCCTCTGTTAATTGTCGGAAAGGAATTCTTTTTAAGTTTGAACAAATTACGTTTTCATAAAGAAGTAAAAAAAATGAATTCTTTTCTAATGGATCAGTTGTGCTATCCATGTGCTTATTGAAAAATAGTACGATAGAATTTTAAAAAAGTAATCAATGAAATTAAATCTTTTGATTGATTTATCTTGAATAATATTAAATATGCACTCACTTAGCTTTAAAGCCTCGTGCCTGTAATTCTCCGCTACTGAATACCATCACAAGTCTCGGCCCATCACTGACTATATGACTTGGATTACTATTATTACCACACATCTCATAATCGAATTTATCATAAGAATCCGTTGCTTCTTGACCTTTTAAATATAATTTTAGATAGCCATCGGTACACGACGTCCTGAGAAAGTCCAAAAAAAAATATGGTACAAATTGACATTTACGCAGGTAAATGTTAAGTTTAGCCTCTCTTCACATATCCAATCTTGATAAAACCAGGCTTATTCGGTGCGTTTTTATATAAAACGAACGAACATGGTAGTGAAAAGTGTTGTTCTGTCCCGAAGCGAGATATTAATCGTTGAAATCGATGATTATTCAAGTTAGAAAATCTGTCACAAAGGCTAAACGAGGACTATAATGACTATAATTGTATTGTTGTACATGGATTTCAACTTTCCACGCGAAGTGACTTCCACCCCATATTCCCCCTGCCAAGGGACTTCTATAATTGTACTGGTGTACTTGGGTTACGAATTTCCACGCAAAGTGAAATCTACTTGTATAATGAAATCTAGTTGTATGTCCCTTGACAGGAGGAGAGATAAGGTGGAAATTAATTCGCGTGAAGAGTCGAAACCTATAACAGTATCTGTAACAGTATAATTATAGAAATTGTGCGACCTTTGGCACGGGGGAGGTGGGAAGTCGCTTCGCGTCGAAACCTTAACAATAATCACTAATAATTAATATCTCGCTTTACAGGATAAAGCGACACTTTTTATTGCCAGATTCGATCGTTTTATGTAAAGACGAATAAGCCCTTTTATCAAGATTAAACGTGAGGAGAGCTAAACTTAACTTTTACCTTTATGCACTCTCATACTGACATTTAGTAAATATATTTATTTAATACTTACTCTCCCTTAGGCATCTGTATTGTAAATACTTGAAATTCCAGCCGCACGCGCTCTAGATGTTGCGAGTCCTGCATGCCATAGATGAAGTAACGGCAAACAACCTTAGGTAAGTAAGGATATGGAAAATTAGGACTAACTACGAATCCCGATGTTTCCTTCTTACTAAGGATTTTTTGGTCGCATTCAGACCCACGGATATGCTCGCCTTGATATTCTGTTATGAAATCTATACAATGGAAAAAATGATAGTATCAATTAATGCAATTGTAAAGTTTTGTAAACAACAAACAGGCGTCATAATGATCTCACCTAGGCTGACAAAACTCTCTGAGAACTCAAAAATGCCTTTAAATCCTCGATTTTGCGTATTTGCCGTGCGTCTTAATGTTGAAAATAATACAAACAAACTGTTCTCTGAGGAGTATAATACTAAATTTCGTTGCTGGCCGCAGTAAGTGCCGATAACAGCGGTCGAATTATCGGGACCATCATACACTTTCACATAATCTAGCGGGCAACTATGGAATAATTTCAAATTTCCTCATTAAATTGATTAAATTATACCATTTGCTACATACATAGTACTTAATATAATATAAATATATAAATTGATGTAATGTAAATATATATATTTAAAATTGTAGAATATTCTTCTATAATTAAAGAATGCATTAATTTATTTTTATTCTACAAAAGTAAATTTTCTTTAATAATTTTACATTTTTATAAAAATATATATTTATACAATAAATACATAAAATTAATTTCTTTTAATTTATCTTTTATCTAAAAATTTCTATAAAAATTTTTAATATTTGAAAATTATTGGCCTTGCATATACGTACTGTGGTCCCCCAAAGAACAAATCAAAGTCACGAAATTCCAATCGCACACGTTGTCCACGTTGCCCGACAAATTGATAACTACAAATAAGATCTTTCGGATAGGTGCCGGGATAAGTGGGAGACAGTATGTTTCCATTACGTTTGATTTCCGCATGTATTGTAAAAGTACACGGTGTGCTTGGCTCTGGCGTGCCAACTTCATACTCGGCTACAAATAAGTTATGTTAAATATTAATGAATAATCCTGGTAAAAAAATTTTGTTGAAATTGTAGAAATTTTGCTGAAACTTTGCAGAAATTTTTGCTGAAATTAATATTCCAATAAAAATGCTGAAAATTTGTTAAAATTTCACTGAAAATAAATTTTTCAGCAAAAATACTAAAAAATCATCGAAATTAAATTAAAAATTTCTCTGTAAATTTATCCGAAAATTTCGCTAAAATTTACTGCAAAAATGCGTAACGAGCGATGCTTCTCTCAAAGTTCGACATTATTCAACTGTGAACGAAACAACGCTGACTTTAGTTATACTTAATTGGCCAAATGCTTTGAAGCATTTTTTGATTGGTCAATTTTTTGAATAGTCTGTTCATTGCTCCTTCATTCACGGAACAGTAGTGGGGACGACTCCGCCGTCGAAGTTTCACTCCATAAAAAAGTAAGAGGGTTTTAACAAAGAGCATTTGAACGTTGCTTTGTTTTCAGCAGAGAGAATTTTGCCAGCGAAGCTTCGCTATATGAAATTGTACCTTAACGCTAACTAAGGCTGCGATCCACTTAGCACTTTAAATGTTTTAGAGTATTTGTAGCATAACTAATCCATTTGACATTTCGGTACATTCCCAGCAATTCTGATTACGTTATTAATACGTCATCGTTTTTGCTCTCGCTTTGCTCCAACTACCTCACCTCGAGAAGTAAGTTGGCTGGAGCGTTCACGTAGCCATTGTAGCATTTCGGAACAGTAGTTTTAGAGCATAGCATTCACAGCATTTACAAGAAGCAAGTGGACCGCAAAGTTCACTTGGGTAGAGAAGCTACCCAGATAACATGCATATCTAAAATACGTCGAAAAGGTTAGGAGCGTTGGTGATAAAAATGGGGCTGATTAGTTACAAGATAACAGGTATCAAATATGTCCGTTTAAGGACTAAAATCACCTGATTTCAACAATTCATACAATAATAAAACTAATAATTTGTAATGAAATTGAAATAGAGCTGAAAACCGGCTTTACGGAGACTCCTTCTTTGTTTTAAATTTCGCTAGAAGCGATTTTTTTCAATAAAAATACTGAAAAATCGCTGAAGTTAAATTAAAGTTAATTAAACTAAAATTTTTCAGCAATTTTCGAAAATTTTTCTATAAATCTATACTTTTTGTAAAAATATCTATTCAAAAAAATTATGACATAGAAAAATTGTGTGCAAAAATTGGCCACCTTTGACTAACGATAATTTTGCGAAAAATTATTGTAGGGTAACATTTTCTTTCAAATTTAAAGCTTGAAATCTCTACTTTAAGATGTTATGGCCAGATTTTAAGTTTGATGCACTTCTGCCACTATAACACTCAAAATATGAAGGTATGTGTTTTGTGTTTGTCATATTGAAAATTGCAAAGTTTAATAGAATACATTTTGTAAAACTTTTTAAGGGAATGCTATTTGCAGCGGCGTAAAGTTCGAACTTTTCCCTTTAATTAAAAAAAAATGAGATGCCGCAGTTTTTTTCGCAAAATTACAGCACTTAAAAGTTACTCTTGCATTTTTTACATATGTACTACGATATGTGATATGTACATATTACGACAAAGTTGCTGGATGGATTTTGCACATCGTATTTCTACGTGTATGTATTTTGCACATCATGTTTCTGCGTGTAAATTTCAGTAACATGTGTTGCCTCCGCATTGCTCGATTACTGCTTGCAGTCGATTCCTTATATTAATACAGATTCTAATTTTTTCCTGCGGAAAAAT